TGTGCAGGGGGGTTGGACTAGATGATCTCTAGAGGTCCCTTCTAACTTTAAGCATTCTGTGATTATAAGATTTTCTTCACACATCTTAAAAGGATGACAAGTATGTAAAAAGCTTTCCAAATGCCAAGTATGCAGGTATCTCCTCTGAAGACAAAAGCTAATATAAAATGATAAACAGGGCAGCAAAATTTCTCTTTAAATAAAATGGTTCCTGCTAGGTAATATATCAAATAATAGATAGCGAATATGTTCTTTCTACTTTCTCGGATTGGCAGTCCAATTCAGAAGCGGTATTTTGAGGATGCCTTGCTAGTAGTGTTGTTTTCTGATAGGACTGCAAGTAGGAGATATGGAAATAAATCTTTATAACTCTGACTATGGTCAACAATGTTGCAGCAGTAAAGGACTAAAAAATCACCAAAGTTTAATAAGAAGTAGATTTATTCACTAGTATTGGATCCAAATTCCTTGGAACATAATAGATTTATAAGCATGTTGCATACATAAGACTCCCACATGAGTTTCTGATAGGTAAAGTCATTTGTATATATACATATACTGTATATATACACACACATATATACAAACTCACATATACATATAAAGCAGCATATACTATGTATATGCATGTATACACATATGTTGTATATGCTTCTTTGTACATATGCTTTGTATATATATCTTTAAAAATCCTTTAAAATGATATATTTAAGAGAAATAACGAAGTATCCATTTAACTGCGTTCATGAATTTAAACTGATTTTAAAATGCATGTAACATTTACAATAGCTCTTTGTCCTCCATTTCAACCAGATCCTAGATTGTCTGTACTTCTCCAGTTTACATATTTTTTCCACAGGATTCAGTAGTGACAACTATGTACTTATATCATATATTTGTAGTTTATTTTTTGATTCCATTTTGTTGACTTTTAAAACAACCCATATCTACCTGTGAAAGCAAATGCATATTCCTCAAATCAGCATCCACTGTCCACAGGCAGTAATGCTGAGTAACCAGTTAGTTAGGTAATGTAATTTTCTAAAAATGCTTTATTTGTATACTGAGATATTTTAGATAGTCCAGTTTATCTTAGGCAGCTCACAAGATATTTTCAGATAAAATAGGTAAGTCTTTTAATGTAATAAGAAGAAATATGACCAAGTATTTGTCATTTTTTGTGTGTGATTTGCTTCATTATATACACATTTATGGGTTAATTATGTTAGCTTGTTTTTATAACACATGCATCCCACCTTAACAATGCACAATAACCACATAAAGCTGTTTAAAATTAATATTGGATTTAGTGCATCATACCAATTATTGGCTTCCTTACTGTTCTTTAATATCCCAGCACAATTGCTTTCCAGCACATCATATGCATGATTATAAGGAAAAATTTAAGAGACTTTTCTGCTGCAGGAAACCTTTTGTTAATTCATTCTGTTTTGACTGGGCAGCAGGAAATCAGCAGGGGCTGACTAAAAAATTGCAAAAACAAAAAAAACCCTTTCCCTCTAGAAGACTCAAACTCAGCTGGAAAACAGACATCTTGTTGGATGGGAAGGATTTTTTCATTATGTAGAAAAAAAGAGATGAATAAAAGAGAAAGTGTAAATAATTAACAGCAGATCTCACTCCACAATAGCAAGAATTTATCTTAATTATTTTAACCAGAAAATAATAATCATAACATTTGAGAATTCAGAGAAATAAAGCCATTTTTTCCAGTAGTATTTTCTATTTCTTAGAATAAAACACTTCAATATGACTGTGTCACTTCAACATTTGTGAAAAGAAGAAAGCCCTTTGAGTCTCCTCATGTATACTTTGATTGCCTTCTGAAAATTGTAGCATCTTCACACACAACTGTGTGAAAAGCTAATGGTCAAAGGAAAAAGGAGAAAAAAGCCTAGATAGTCTTCACTGTCAGACTTTTAGAATCAGATAGTAAACTCCTGATTTAAGGAAGCTGAAAATTTACATCTAGGAAAAAGTTAAATGAAGAAGTAGGACGAAAATAAAAGTAAAGAATGCAAAATAATGATCAAGGCAAGGAATTCTGAACTTTGTTATGAGCTAGTGCATTAGCTACTACCTGTGAAGACAAATAAGCATCTCTGAGGGGTGTCTCTTTCCATTCAGAGGCAGATACCTAAGCTGAATCATGCCATTTCTCACTATTGACCATAAAAATGAAAGCAGGTTGATGCAACAACACAGTGCAGTTGAGTAAGAGCCAAACTTTACATACTTTTAGCATATCCTAAGTGGCCAGCCTCGTCTAGGCCAAAATAATCTGAGATTTCACTCCCCCTTGGCTAATTGCGAACCAACATCTACGTGGTTAGCTTCATGTGAAACAAATCCCAAACATATATACGCCTAGGGCTCATTTAATTCAAAAAAAAACTTTCCCTGCTCCTGAATTAGGCCCCTTAGCCCATGTTCAGCCAGGTGATGAACCTCATGCCTGATTTTTAGGCATGCTGTTGATTTCACTGAAAGCCTCTAGGTCACTTTGGTCCTTCAAAGGTCAGCATGTGCTTGAATACCTTAACGGGTGGAGGCCAGTTGCCAATTTTTTTCAAATGGCATTTAACACACAACAATTCTGACTTCAGCAAAGAGCTAATTGCAAATCTCTTCTGTAAAATAAATGGATTCCACTGTAAAAGCCCTACTAGTGACAGCAATTTTGACAGCTTCTTTGAATTTCTAGCCTAGATATAAAGTGAACATTTTGATTGCATTTAGCCATTTCTAGCTGATTTGGTACAAGAAGTGAAGGGGCAAGACTGTTATGGTGCTTTTGATTGCCTTTGGTCCTTTCAGTGTGCATAACAATTTCTTCTTAAATTGTCTGCAGTGATGAAAAATAACATGGGTGTTACAGGATGAATATCAGAATGTCTCAGGATTCTGACAGGCATATTAAATCCATTAGAAAGATGTTGTTTATCAATAAAAGATTCTGTTTGAGTCAAAATGTTCATTTTTTTCCCTCAATATTGTAAGCAAGTCTCCTCTTACTTCTGCGAACAGAAATAAAAGTGTCGTAAAATTATGCATTATAAAGATTATAATGAATATGATTTTACAGCTAAAATATGCTGATTTAAATATTTCCCTTATAGCAGATAGTACCTATTGTGAAATGTGGTAATAGCTGATAGTATGGATTTCAGGGATGTATAGAGTGAACATTAAAATCAAGACACAGTGTTTTGTCACGTTTTTAGAGAGATCTTAGTACATATGAAAGTTCCTCCTTTGCCTCCTTGTTCTCCAGCAGGCATACATGTCTTCACACTGATACCTGCAATGAATATTGTCATGAAGGCACAGATTAATTCAGGTTGGAAGGAACCTTTGGAAGCCTACTCAATCCTACTGCCTGCTCAAGGCTTGACCAATTAGATCGGATTGCTCAGGGCCTTGTTCAGTCTTCTTTTGAACACCTTCAAGGATGGAGAGCCCACAGCCTCTCTGGACAATTTGTTCCAGGATTTGAACATCTTGGAAGTACAAAATTTTTTCTTTATATCTAATCAGAACTTCCCATGCTCCAAATCCTGTCTCTTTGCACTCATCCTATTGCCATTTACTTCTGAAAAGCATCTGTGTCTCTCATCTCCAAATAGTTGGAAACAGCAATCAGATCGAAGAGGCCCTGAGTCTTCTCTTCTTAGGGATGAACAAACTCTCCTCTCAGCCTCTCCTCAAATGTCAGATGCTCCAATCTCTTAATCATCTTAGTAGCCCTTCACTGATCATGCTCCAGTATATCCATGTCCTTCTTGTACTGGGGAGCCCAAAGCTGGGCACAGCACTCCAGGTGTGTTCGCACAAGTCCCAAATAAAGGGGAGGTGTCGCTTCCCAGGACATGCTGGCTCCACTCTTCCTAATGAGGCCCAGGAGGCTCGTTGGCCACCTTTGCCACAGGGGCTTATTGCTGGCTCATGGACAGCTTGCTGTCCACCATGACCCCCCGGGCTTTTCTCCAAAAGTTGCTTACTAGCTGTTGGCCACCAGCCTGTATTGGATGGGTTTTCCATCCAAGATGCAGGAGTTAGTTAGCATGTGCTTTAGTTGAACTTCATTAAGTTCCTGAGGTTCTTTTAAATCCCCAGAGACAAATTACATTAAATGCTAATTTAGCTAATTTTTTCATAGGTAAAAACAAAATTAAAATAAAAGCAATGAAATTAGATTTTCATTCACATGGCTCTTTGAAGCACTGCAAAACCTGCAGGGCTCCATTCTTATTATCATTGTCTAATACTTTGCGATAGAAACTAGGGAGTCTGGTATCAGCCTTCAGGCTGGAGTATATGAGGCAAATGACCCTCACTGCTCCCCATGCAATAGGTATGTACAGCCAAGAAAAAGTCGGTAATTCAGATTCCTTTTTTTCATTTAGCTTCAAACATAATTTTAACTAAGGCAGCTATGTAAAGTATTTTATTTTAGATGGAAATGTAGAACTGAAGGAATCTTTTTCAATTATGTTTTGAAACTTCAAGTTTATCAGTTCAGACATCATGAGATCAGACATTCTTATTTTTGAGTCTAATGTCTATTCTACTTTGTGATACTGAGAGATAGGTTTCTTTATTGCTTGTAGACATGGGTAGCTTAAACCACTGCAGGAAAACAAGATGTTGCTAGATATTTTTATTCCAGTTATGCTGGTGTTACCAGTAAAATGTATTGCTTACAAGTTCTCCATGGATCACAAATGATGATAGTCTAAACAGTCTGTAATCTTCTCATTGGCATGAGTTTCACTCCTCTGCAAACTGACAGGGCTGTGCCTGAAAATAAAAGGAAGCAGTCTTATTATTGCTATTATTACTTGCGGCGTAGTTTCTGCTGCTGATGGCAAGGGTAATCAAGGTGATGAAAACCCACACACTTAATTCTCATTCAGTACATTAAAAGATGTCGGGAGACAAGTCCTGAGCTCCTTAACTTAGATAAACCTCAGCTAAGGAATGTTGTCTGAATAATCATTTACAGTCAGGAAACTCAGGCACCTTGCTGCCATTATTTTAATGGGAATTAGATACTTCAATACGTTTTTTAATCGGCTCTCAGTTTACATTTCAGTTGGTAATGTCGTAAGTAAACTGAGTAAAATAAGAAAGACGATATTTTACGCTGCCCAGATAGCAAGACATTTAAAGACAGCACATTTATATGATAATGATTAAAAACTTGATTTAGCAAATGGCAAAATTTGCTTTACCCCGATAAACTCTATGCATAGGAATGTATTTCAAACTGTGTTCTACAGTGCTTTACAGTGTTAACTGGGGAAAGATATAAGTCCCTTTAAAGCTTCGTGAGAGATTCCCTGAGGGGAACACAGGGAGAATGAAAGTCCTTGAGAGACACGTGAGGCATTTTCAAATGGCAAGAATGCTAGCAGTCACAGAAGAAATGGAATTAGAGAATTTTGTAATTTTTCTCTAGTGTTTACATTCCGGATGCTCTTTTTTTTTAGCCTCAGGATAAAGACTGTGTGATTTTGTTACCATTTGTTTATTATTTCACTTTTACTCCTACTGATTTCCTACTGTTAAATAATTCAGAGCAAACTGCACACACACTAGCAGGCGTGGCTGAAACCCTTTCTGCATGGCGTGAACTCCAGCTGAGATGGCCTAATCCGTACAGACCGTTCTCTCACCTTCTCCTGAGAACCTCTGCTTGGAAAGAGTATGTTCCTGGGCACTTCCTCCCTGAAGACGTCTGGTCTCCAGCAGTTAGAGGGAAGCCAAATCTGGTGGGCTGCAGTGCGCAGGGAATGCCCTGACCCAGGCCTATGGAGCTGGGCTGCTTCAATCCTGACCTCAGGTCCATCCAGCAGCAAGGCTGAGCAGGTATCCCAAATGTACATGCACACACACACTCACTACACCCTGCCACCAGCATTTTGACACAGATTCCTGATAATCATCACAGGATGCATGAAAAACCCTGGCCTTGCGAGATTCAACATATTGATCTGGAGAAACAAGGAGGTTCTGCTGTGAACTCATGAGTGCTCTGACACTCACTTTGAAAGGCATTTGAGTGACACCTTTCTCACAGGAGCGAAGGCTGGAGTTGGGATTTCCTTCCAAGGGAGTCGCTCAGGAAAATGGGATTCTGACGTGAAGAACTCCTGGATTAGAACAACCTGCACTCACCCACCACCAAGGAAGGAGTAACAGCGGCTCTTTTTACGGACTAGTTTACTCTGCAGCCTGTTGCCACTGCCAGGCTGCAGGCTGGCTCACTGCCTGGCTGAGCTGACAAAAAAAAAGTGAAGATAGGCACCTGTGTGAAGAAAACAAGACTGTTGTCAGCTGTGTGTAAGCCAAGGTCCACAGCAGGATCTTCAGGACAAATGGCAGCCCAGATCAGTGCTTAAAGCAAATCTTTAAACCTGATTATCTGTCCCTGCTTGTTTGTGAATGGAAAACAAAATGTCACTGAAGTCAAATCTGATCTGAATCTCATGAAGCAGCATTGTAAGGTATCGACGTTTCTTTGACTGCAATATTGCTAGTGATTTGCTGCTGTATCACATTGACTTCTTAGCATATAGCTCCTTTGACAGCTGTGATGAGTGAAAAATCTCTCTCAGTGGCTTTTACATGGTCGTTTCTATTAAATTTCAGAGAGCTGTATTTCTCCAGCTTATTGGAGAAGGCGACGGATAATCCTCAGCCACCTTGGCCTCCTGTTCTGAAAAGCACCCTGCACAGAAATGCACAACCATGAGGTCTGCGATGAGCGTCTCTGGGTACTCTGAGCAGGGGACTTGACCTCAGAGAACATCTGTGATTGATAGGTCTTCATATCCGTGGTGCCTTTATAATTACACGTATTGCCACACAAACAGCCCAGATCAACAACCCAGCTTAGTGTAACACTAAGAAAAATTACTCCTGACAAGGGACAGGTTATGACCTTACCAGGATCCTCATCTTTTGTGTATTACATACACCCGGCTTACTTGAAAGCAAGCTGCATTGCAATAGTTGCTTAAATGCATTAACAGTGCCAACAACTATCAACATCTTGGATTCCTTTTGTAGAAGGAGCTGTAAAAGCAGCGCTGGCTTTTCCCAAGGAACATGGATGGGCTTTACTGAACGTCGTGGCTTTGTATGACAGTGGAGGATTTTGCAGGCAAAAATGTTAGACTCCTTGAAGACCAATCCTCACAGAAGTTGCAATATTTTGATTAAATGTTATTGGCAATGTTTTATTTAACTCATACAGGCATGAGTCCTAAAATATCAGAAGTGAATATGTCAGAAGGCAAAATAATTCCACTTAAAAAATATCATTTACCATCTAGAAGAACTGCTAGTTGCTTCTTGTCATTTCACTTCCATGTTTTACTGCTTTCTCCCTCTACTCCTTATGATCTATTTTTTCCAAATTGTATCAACTTAAGTATACTTCTTTCTCTTACATGTCTTTTACAAAGGAGACACTGCTATTAAGCCATTTATCTCTAGTGTTTATTATTTACTCATTCCATTTTCCGGCTTAAATACAAGATTGTATAACCAGCATTTGGAAACTAAGAAAAAATTATAACAGCCCTACCAATTAAGAGCTTGAAATAGTTTATCCTTCACTTTATATGCTCCAGAGTGAAGTGAGAAATAACACTCTATCGGCAACCATTCACTGTATTTTTTTTCCTAGCAATCTTGAGTATTTTAAGATACTTAAGGTGCATAGTCTCCTTCACATCCCAAAGTGTTGTACAGTTTCAAAACACCACTACTGATTCGTATGGAAGTGCTATAAATAAACTCTGCAGTGGCCAATAATGGAGTTTCACTAACAAGGATGCACCTCTTGCTAACTCATTGCTGGAAGTTTGAAAATGCCTTGAAAGAAGATAGGCCTCCCCTTTTGTCCTTGTGAGAGTTAGGAAAGAAAGACTCTGTTACAGTTCTATGACTTTTCTTCCCATCTACCTAAACGTCAGTCTTTTAAAAATCCAGTTGAAAGATTCATTTTAGCAATATTTATCACAGGAAGATTCTCAGGTGAACTGGCTGGATCTTCCTGAAAGGTTTTGCTCTATTACTATTATGAAAGTGTTGTAGCAACAAGAGTTCAGAAGAAAATGTTTCAGTTCTCTACTCTGTGCAAATGACAGGATTTTATACATACATAGTCTTCTCTTATAGCAGAATGCAGTGAATTTTAAATTGAATTTACGCCTTTGCCCTTCACAACCCAGCTGGTTCTTGCTTCATAACCACATTGTCCTAAAATTACCAGTTTATCTAATTGTCTGCTGAAATTATCTTTTTTTTCAAAGGAAGAAGAGAAGAAAAGAGATGAAGGAGAGCATGGATCACAGGTAAGGTTAGTTCACTTCTCTGTTCTTTGAAGGAGGCAGCAGAATGCAGCAAAGGCAGCGCTCTGTCGCGTATGTCTTTTGTTGTTACCTTCACTTTTCAAGCTACTGTGGCTATTTGATCTCCAACGGGCAGGTGCTGTAGCCATTTTTCAGCAAGAGGCTTATCTTTATATGTTCCTTTTAGAAATGTATTTCATAGTGCCTGGAAAGAAAGATTTACCTGCAGATCTTCAAAACAAATTAACAGGCAAAATGGCAAGCTAGCATAGTGTTATTAGCTTAATTTTTCCTCCTGTACTTCATTTTTGCATATCTTTTTTTTTTTTTTTTTGATATGCCCTCTGAATGAATGTTGGCACTACTCGACCTTTAAATGTCAAAATCCATTTGAAAGGTGTTTACTGTGAATTCCACAACCACACACCATGTATGAATGGCTAATATACATGAGAAACAAGAGATATATTTAAAGGTGCCCAGCCAGGCTTATGAATTCATGTTATTATTTCTGTTCCTTCCCCACGCCCATGAAAATAAATCATGCAGAGATCACATGTTTTTCAGCTAGCTCTTGCTATTTTAAGAGGAAAGCAGGGAGAGAATATACAGGCACGCTGATTGACACAAGTCAGCTAACTCTGCAGCTAAAGGTCTGAGCCTGCAAGCTGTTCCTTGTGGGTGGATCGCCGTGCTTAGACTGAGAACCCTGCATAATTTAAACTGATATATAAACTGACTATGGAAGCTAGGAAGCATAAATGTTTACCTTGAAGAATGCCATCAAGTGAGGAGCCATTTAAAAAGTGACGTTTCTTTACATGTGATCATTACCACTTTCTATTTGCTCCCTTTTGATATTTTGTGGTTGTTTCGCTTTTCACACTAAGAAGAAATTCCTTCATAGGAGGCATCAATGAACACTGATGAATGACCTAATACTGCTATAGACTGAAATCTGAAGCAAAAAACAAATCCTCTCTTTCCCAGCAAAGTTATGGAGAAAGGCAGAGCAAGGGAGACAATAATGGAGAGGGAATGGAAAATATTCCCAGTACAATCACCAGTTTCAATCAGGCTTGTCTTTCTAATCCAAAGCTCTTTTGGCAGTGATTCAGTCATAATAAAATATCCATATGCATTTCAGCTATGATAAAATAGCATATTTCGTCCAGTTCTCATGCTACTAAAAAAGGAATTCCTGATGTTAAATGTAACAGATTTTGAAGCTATTTATTCAAGTTTAAGCATGCTCAAGAAGAGAGAAAATACTTTCACATGAAGCTGTTCTTTTTATTGCAGAGGTGGACTGGCCTACTTAACACAGTTAAAGGTCTTTCTGCCATTGAAAAATGAG